AGGAGCAACGCTGTTAAGTATAACTGTTAAGAATAATATGAAGAGCTAGCACCTTTTCTGGTTTTACTTCTTTATTACTGCAGATCATTTAGCGTTATTTCGAGCAGATGTATTGTATGTCCACCCATAAATTCAAGCAAATCAACCCCGGACTGCTTCCCAATCTCATCCATATTGATGCTCGATGCATGCAGGTTCCATTTCTTAAGCAACGCCTCGATGCACCAATCCGCGCTTCTCTCTTGATAGGTAAATATGAATTTAGCACCACGATTTCGTTCCAATAGAAACGCCACTGTAACAATTATGTCCTCGAAAACGCTAGGATCATAGAAGCAATCGGCAGCAATGATCAAGTCCAAAACAGGCAGCCGAAATACGCTGTTCAGTAACAGCCCCCAACTGAGGCCGACGACATCAATGTCCACACCTGGTTGCAGCTGATTGGCCAGGCAGGACTTTTGTATATGTGCTAGCGATTTGGGTAGAATGCAATTGTCACTGAGCACCACTTGGGCTCCGCACTTGGCGGCAACTATACCGGGTAGCGCAGTTCCAGCGCCCAGTTCAAGAATTCGCTTGCAGACAAGAGTTTGCCGTCGCTCCCACAAAAAATGGGCGAGAATCGGAGCACAAGGCCAGGTATAGAATGAGTAAGCGCCTTGTAGAATCTATATTTATACAGTGATTTATTTGATTAATTTTTTGCTTCATTGTAACCATTTTTTAAAAATTTACTTCAGGTATTTTGATTTCCAAGCGATCAGCGGTTGCATCGGTGCCGCCACCAAATACAAACTTGCGAATGTGCTCAGCACTGGATGTCGCAGTAACAATATCACTCTCGTCGCTGCTGCCGTTCATGTGGAAACGCATTTTTACACACACACGTTGTCTAAAAAGTTGCTCTTATTCATAAATTACTATTTAGGAAAATTCAAATGCTTGTTTACAACCTGTTTGCTTGCTTCTTAGAGATGTGCAACAACATGTGAATGAATCATTGCACATGAGTTGCACCACTAACCATAAATATGGTAGCACTTACACGAATATCTAATTATCTTTGCTATCAGTAAAATATTTTATTCTATATTAAATGTCTGACAATTATATAAGATTATTATAAAATTTATATAATAAAAAAATGTATATATTTGTTTATGTTATCTAACATTTAAATAATTTGTGTAGCGGTTATTTGATTACTTCAATATCGAATATCACTCCTCTCTAGATGTATCGATGACAGCGTATTGTTAAGAATTTTAGGAAGTCAGTCTAAATCGCGGCAGCTATCGATCTTAACCTGTTGCGATGGTCTGTTGCTATTAATATACATTTTGGAAATACATTGAAATTGTGAAGTTTTATATACAAAATATATATCAGAATGCCGCCCCATTCGTTGCGTGTTGGTGATTGGGAGCTAAAGGGCCATTTAGGGCAAGGGGGCTTCGGCGAAGTGAAACATTGGAAAAACCGCAAAACAAACCAGGAAATAGGTATGCAGTACGTGCTTCGTAAACTATATTTGTACATAGTATACTTTTGCATACATATAAATATAACTATATATGGAAGCCCTAAAGCCCATTCAGACACACATGCATACATACATGGAGTATAAGCCAATTCCTGGAAATTGCTGATTCAAGAATTTGTTTGTTTACTTGAATTGTCTGTATGTGTGGGTGAGCTGATAAGTAAAGAAATCGTTATTCGAAGCACTATGAATGAATGAAAAATAGGAAACTGCTTTGCTTTGTGAGACTTAAGAATATTTTGTTTATCTTAAAACAGCCACCAAGCACATCAAGCATGACATACAGGACAAAATAAGTGTTGATCAGCAAGAAACTATGAAAAATCGCTGGCTTCAAGAGTTTGAATGGTCTCGTAAATTCAAAAAGGCTTTTATTGTAGCTGGCATTGAACTGAGCAATGATTCTAAGGCATTTATTGAGTACTTAAATCGCAATCACGTCTGGAGGCTGCCTGTTATAATACTCGAATATTGCAATGGAGGTGATGTACGAAAACTTTTGGAAAAACCGCAAAATGCAAACGGTGAGCAGGGAAATTTAGTAAATTGAAAATTTGTTTTCTGATACCACCTAAAGATTGATTTCGTTGTTGATTTTGAATCTGATAGCGGATATTTAATCAAAAACTTTGAAGTACTAACACTGAATTTTTTGTTTAGGTCTGCCGGAATTTGAAGTGCGTGAGATTTTGTTTGCTCTTCGACAAGCCATTGACTTCTTGCACACCAACTGCAAAATCTGTCATCGCGATCTAAAGCCAGATAATATTGTGATACATCGGACGGGCGATGGTCGCAAAATGTTCAAACTAACTGATTTCGGTCTAGCGCGCGACTCTCCGGAGAAAACGATTATGCAAAGCGTCGTTGGCACTAGGCATTATTATGCACCCGAGGTGGTAGACACAGGCAAGTACAAGGAGACGGTGGATTACTGGTCAATGGGCGTGATTGCCTACGAGGTGGCAACTGGTGTATTGCCTTTCATACCCCACCAAACTGTTGTCAATATTCATATCAATATTAAGAAAAAGAATCGCGATTGTATTGCCATAACAGAGGATTGTACGAATCCGAACCGCTTTTTCTTTCATAACGATATACCCATTGGACACCATTTAAGCCAACCGTGGGCGGCAAAATTTACCAAGTGGCTGCGCCTGGCATTTGACACCGATCATTCAAGACGTGGCGCATTAGCAGCAACTGATGAAGTACAAGATGGAGTTGCAGCACCTGCAATATTTACACAAGTGGATAGAATGTTGCAGATGAAAGTGCTGACTGTTTTTGTTGCGAGCATCTACAAGCTTCTGGAATACGAACTGATGCCTGACATGACACTGCAGGAATTGGTAAAGCTAATTGAGCGCGACACAAAATTGGAAATGAGCATGTTTTATTTTGTGCTACCGACGGGTCATCCACACAAGCGTTTGACTACAGAAACCAGACCCATTGATCTCTATGTAGACGAGTGGCGAGATACTAGTGAGGAATCGCGGAATCCACCAGTTATGATCTACATCTTTAATGTAATGGAAAAGTTAAGATTTGAGCCGACCGTGCCAAATATTCCCGATGGGCTAAAGCATTTCCTTAATCAATGTGATATTAAATTAGAAAAGTGGCTGGCTAGACGCATGGTATTGGACATGCATTATATCCTTACTACTGAGCACGCACTCGCTAAAATGCTACTTTGTGGATATAAGGAGTACGCACTCTCTCTGGAGCATGACATTCTCGAAAGTCAGCCCATGATTAAAGCTTTAGAAAGAGAAAAGGATAAGTGCTGTGGTGCCATTGAGCAGTTCCATGTCTTAATAACTGCTGCGAAAAATCAGAATAAATTTCAATTGGTAATCAAATTCTAGAAAAGATGTTGGGGTTTCAATAATTTTGAAAAATGATAATTTTACTTTTGTAGGGCAATAACCAAGAATGGCAATCAAAACTGACGAGTGTTGTTCGAAAACATGGTGAAATCGTCAATTCTATCGAGACCATCATCCATCATTATGACTCCATATTGCGTATCGCACGGAAGGATGCAATTATGGAGAGTGAAAATATCTATAACAAGATTTTTAAAACTGATATTTACAATATGTAAGCAGATAATTTGATAATTATATTTAAAAGCTAATTTAACAACCCTAATTTTCATTGCAGTAAGAATTTTCAAAGAATTTATATGCTTGCCGATACTATAACGTCCACAGACCTGCAAAATATCGCTATTGAATTTGCCCAAGCTCGTAAAGCATTTCTCGCTAATGAAACCATCGAAAAAGTACGCATGACCATAAGTGGAACGCATTTACGCTTCAGAAAAATTTCAAATGTTGTGCAAAACGCCGTGGAGAATCTAAAGGCGGTTCAAGGGGAGTTATTGCAATTACAATTGGAAATGTTGTCTCCGATACATCCACCACCTATATTTCAACTGAATAAAGCCATGGGCAGGATGAACATTGATTGTGCTAATATTCAAACACAACCTAGTTTGGATCCTTTCGATAGCTTGTCTACCGATAGCATTATCTCCCAGGCGATAAGCATCAGTCAAATGTGTGTAAATTGAATTTTGTATTATATTTGTCGCCGTCTAATTTCTTGAATGCATTTTTTTCAGAATGGAGCAGGAAATGGAAATTGAACACAGTTAAAAATCCTGTAATTGTAGTGCCTTCAAGATTACTGCTTGATATTGCGTTGAAAATATGAATATTTTATTTTATTTTGCATGTAAAGTCAATGCCGTCTTCAGAGCTTTAACATAATCACAATTTGATATTTTATATTTTTATTGTTATTGCTTTTGTAAAGCAACGTTAAATTTGTCTCCTATTATTATGTTATGTATATCTTGTGCTTTCTGTTTTTTATTATTTTTTTACAATCATCTATGGATTAAGTATTAACTCAAACATCGCATATGTTAAAAATATATATATAAATATTTACCCCATTACTTCTCTATTTGTTTTTATTATGTATGAAATCAGATATTCTCAAATTATTATATTATTCAATTTGCACACAGAAATTTCTGCTAACTTATAAGCTGAATGTCTGTTTTGATTTGTATATATCGGAAGTTTCTCAGAAGTGAGGTAGCTGTTTATTATTGGTATATACTACATTATTTATACAGATTACTGTTTGATATATACTGAAATTGGGGAAACAAAGAATGTAAAATATTTGATAGTTATATGTTTTCATATATATATTTCTTTTATGTTATTGAAGTTGCTGGTGAATAATTTAAAGCTAAGCATTATTCATAAATACATAAGAGCAACTCGATTGGAAAACATCTGTGTTGGTGCGGCTTTGCAAATTTGCTTAGGATTGCAATGTCACGGAAAATTGCAGTCTGGCAGAATTGAATGCGTCACCTCATGGCAGTGGTTCTCAGCTATAAAAGCCGTGGAGCAGTGGCTGAAAATCCACAGAACACGTTCGACACCAGTGAGAGGTAGACATACAGTAATCAACGCAGTCAACAAATGGAAAGTAAAATATTCATCACCCTATTGCTGGTGGGTTTGGCGGCCCAGTCGCTGGCTAAGCCCAAAGGAAAGTCGAGTAAATTGCGTAAGTATTTAGTATTGATACGTATTTCTTACAGAGTGATTATAACCATATGCAGCTGAGTTTCTCAAGGTTTGCTATCGCGACTCACCGGACTTGAATACGTGTGCTCGTTCATCCTTTGAATCACTGGAGCCACGTCTAATGAACGGCATACCCGAACTATATATACCACCTATGGAACCACTGCGTGTGCCCGAGATTAAAATGGATCAGGATTCCGGCGCCATCTATTTGCATTCGGTGTACAAAAATGTTAAGATATCGGGCATATCGAAGCATACGCTTCACAATCTGACCATCGTTCCTAGCCAGTTGAAATTCGCGCTAGGGATTACCTTCCCCAAATTAAAGTTGGAATCGCAATATAGCATAAAGGGCAAGATCATGATGATGCCAATGCTTGGAGATGGAAACTGCAAGGTCGAGCTGTGTATGTTAGTCGCGCTGAGTAATGTGAGTTGCTTTTAATCAAATTACATTTTCTAGCGAATATTACCGTGGCCACGGAGATGATTGGCGAGGAGTATAAGAAGGACGGCGCCACCCATTTGAAGATAAAAGAAATAAAGGTCAAATACGAACTTGCCGATGTGCACATGCAGCTGGACAATCTCTTCAATGGCGACAAGGCACTGGGAAAACGCATGAACGATTTTCTCAACGAGAACTGGCGATCGCTGTCGGAAGAAGTGCGTCCACTGATGATCAAGGCATTGGTGGATATTTTACGTGCATCCGTTGACAAATTGTTCGATGCTTTTAGCTACGATGATCTGCTGCCCTCCATGAAAATGTGAACAGCTCAATTGATATTTAAATAAACTATAGATTTAATCATAGGTAGGTAATAAAATCATATATAACTAAGAGCAGTAACAGAGCTGAATTTAAAAATAAATTATATATTATTTTAATACAATATATATATTTAAATAGAAATATTAAATATTTCAATATCAATATTTAAATATATATATTATATTTGTAACACAATTCACGGCAACTGCTTTTAGAGCAGCCACAGTTTGGTGGGCATCTTTGAGAAGACATTATTCCACAGGCCATGGAAAATATCGGCTAATCCCAGTTCCAGATCAGGACGCAGCTCTGCTATCACTTCGTTTCCGTTTTGATTGAGGAATGTATTAATGGAAGCGGCCAAAATCTCATTGCCATTGAATAGATTCTTGAGGTGAATTCGCATAGCGCCCACCTGAAAGCTGACTTTCATCTCATCAATGTGTATGATTTCATCGCCAGTCTGGGTTTCATTGCGCAGCGATATTTTCGTATAGACGGCTGTACGCACATTCTTGAATGCCATGGCCACATCACCGTTGCCAACCAGAGGCAGCAATAGTATGTTGCCCTTCAGATTGTATTTGGCTCGAATTCGCAGCCGTGGCAGTTCCAGCTCGAAATTCAACTGCCGGCGAGCCAGATCCAAACTAATCACCAAAAGCATCGAATTACACATTAAATAACGTATGTGCCTATAAATATTGCTTTGCATTTACTTACCTAGCACTGCGCACTGTCGCGTTGGAGGGGCCGCGTACGACTAGATTCTGGAAGCCTCCGGATAGCACCAGATTTCCGCTGCCCTTAGATACGGACACCTGGTCAATGTTCAGTGGCTCAAAGCTCTTCACTCCAATTTCTGGTATTCCAGCAGCCAAAGCTGGGAAGCAGCCCTCGAACAGTTGACGGAAACATTTGTTCTCATTGGGACTGGATCGTTTACACGTTTGTAGCCACGGCGCTGTTAAAAAAAATATAAAAATCCACACTCACTTTATTTACATTATACAATTTTGTAAGCATATCTTTGCTCTGTTTACTTTGAAGAATATACATTTTTTTGTTAAAATTTTTCTTTATTATAAATAATTGTATAGATTTTTACCAGATCGTTATTTTCTAATAAGAGGAATTTATGCTCTTCGTAACTGTCTACGACTTCTAGGAATATTTCTTATACCGATGTATAATCATGACTGTTTTAGGTTATAAATATACCATAATTAGTTCAATATAAGTTAGCAGCTCAAAAATTTTATTTTATTTTTTTTTTTTTATTTATTTAGGACAATCTATTATTAATCTCTGTATACAAAGTGTTATGTTTAAATTCTTTTTTTTTTCTTTTTTTAATTTTAGAGTATAGGACAAATTGTCCTTTTCTTCTTAAATATAATATGAATGAACAATGAATGAATATGAATAAAGGAAACTTTAGATATCCACAGAAGTCCTTACATTTCTTTAACGAAAAAATATTATCTCTAAATATACACTCAATTTTATATTTTATATTTGTATATTTTATTTATATTTTATTTATTTATATTTTATTTATTTATTAATTAATTAATTTATTTATTTTTTAGTATTTAGTTGAAGAATTTTTGGTTTATATTTAATATAAATGTATTTATAGATACAAGTTTTTCACTTCCGACTTCTTAAGATTTGTGTTAATTTCTTTTTTCTTGGCATGCCCCAATATAATATGACATTCATTTTTTTAATCAAGTATTGATATCACTTTATTTCACTTTCATAATACTTACGTCTCTCCTGCAGTGGCGGTTTATCATTGAATATTTCCCGTGTGTAGGCTGTTGCACTTGGTATTAGATAAATGATAACACATAAGCTCCAACTGGCTGTGTAAAAATACATGTTTAACCGTTAAATATCCTTGTTTCAATAGCTTCCTTTATTGGGGAGCTCGCGTAATCCAGTTATTTAAAATTTGTCCGTTGCGCGCGTCCGTTGTCGACGACGTTTCAAACCGAAGTGCTCAGGCAGCCACGTGAAATGTTGTATGAAACCACGACATTAGTTGTCAGTGTATGCGTGCGCGACCACTTTTCGAATACTTTTTGTTTACATTTGCACTTGTCCTAAAGATGCCGCAACCCGTCGCTGCAGCAGCCGACCGAAGTGGTAACCAAAACTTGAAACCGCATTTGAGCTGCAAGACACACCCGTTTACTCCCGCTTGCACCCGCTTGCACCTGTTTACAACCGCTTACACCCGCTTACCATCGCTTTCACTGATAATAGAGACAATGGCAATAATTGTGACACCCTGCAGTTGGTTGACTGGTTTTATTGCCATCTTGACACTAAATATAATACCAATAAATTATAAAATAATATATTATGCCAATCAAATTATTCTATATTTATATTTCCGTCAACGCTAAATAGATATTCATTCATTTCAAATTCCTTAAAATATAAATGTACCGCAGTTAAGTTAAGCCTCAACCTGACATGCGTTTAATCAACCAATTGTTGCTCTGATATTTGGATTTTTATTTTGTTTTGGATCGTATTTTGGTTCATTGCGTATACGCCACCAACCTGTTTTTCTCTTTCTGTCCATTGCGCCACCGACTACCGCTAACCCGCCCGCTGAAATGTCCCCGCCACCAGCTTTCCCTCCTCTCAGCGCCCTGGGGCAGCTTCACTAAAGTTGTTCACCTGTTGACTACTTCTGGTATTACGCATACAGCGCAGCAGAGGGGCCTCACTGTCATGGCTGTTGAGTTGGCTTTATTGCGATTTAGCTCGCTTGACTGTCTCTGCTTCATTGCCTCGGCGGCCGGTTGCAAGTCTTTTGTTATGCAGTCACTTACATTAGCATTGCGCACATTGTGCCCGTTCATTTGGCTTTATCTTAGCCGATGCTTAAGATAAAAGTTGGCGTTTAAAAAATCATTAATATGCTTATGGTGTGTGCGTGTGTAACTCTTTTTTTCCACTATTATTATATTGTTGCATGTGCAGACCCAGACCCCCTGGCAAGGTTGTGATTGCGACAATAGAGAGGCCAGTTTTTATATACTTTTTTCTTTCCCAAAACATTCACGTTTATATCAGCATCCCTTTTCTGCTCTTTAAATGCGCCATCGCGTGCGGAAATTACAAAATTAGCCGACTGTTGTAACAACAAAATTATTATTTATTAATTTAGTTTTTATTGCTTTGTACAGCCTCCGTTGGATTATCGCTGATAGCGCTGAAGCAGCTTCCTTACCGAATGCCCCATCAAACTCGCTGGTACCGACATAAAATATTTAAACAAGAAAAAAATAATCCCGTTATTATATAATATTTCTTTATGTAAATTTGTCTGGCTTCCTTTATGACACGAAATAAATTCCCGGTATTCCTTAGAGGTTTACAAAAAATATATAGATTTTTGTATATATATATTTGCACATAAGAAAATTTGACTTTTTATTATTATTATTTTAATTTCATTTATTTAAATTTTTCCCACACAGTTGTTTTACTAACATTACAAATTTTTCTGTCTCGACTATTTTGATTATAGAGCAGCTTACAGCTGTATAGATATTCACGTAACTAATTTAGTTTCTCCCTTATTTTTGCAATACTAAATTGACCTACTCACATACGTACAGACGAACCAATAAAGATTTAAGTAAACCCAAACAAACCCCAATATACTCAGTCAAAACACATGTTTTCTTCTGTGCGTCCCCCTTGGGTTCAATAGCTTCACTTGATTCCATTTTAATTTGTTATTTATATGCAATGTATGTTACTGCAATGTAAGCTGAAGTACCATCGACATATAGAGGCGACATTGACCGATTAAAGCCTCATAATGTATAGTGTAAAGCGGTTTCGTCTCTTTTTTGCTTCTTTAAATGACTTGTATAGGATTTCCCTAAATAACATAATTGGCAATTGGTAATTTTTAAAACATTAAATAGTAAACCATATACTATTTTGAAATGTAATATGAAACATACATACATATATAAACATGAATTAAGTTGATATATACTAAATAGTATTACCCTTTTCACATTTCCAAAAATAAATCCGAAAGAATTTTCAGTACGATTCGTAAAGAAGTTAATATAGAATGAATTCCATAAAATTTCAGTATTTTTGGTATTTACTATTCGAAGGTTTTATTATCATCATTCAGCCCGCCACAACTAGACGGCTAAATCAAATAAAACTTACCACACTTGAACTTTGTTGCATACTTTAAAGAGGTCACAAAATGTTGGGATTTATAGTAAAGCATACTTTTGAGCTAATATAAAACATGCTCAGCATTAACCCATTAGGTCCGAAAAGAAAACCAGTTGCTAAAGTGAATGTATGTTTAAGTTAATTTTTATTTAAATGGTAATATGCATGGACTTATGGGTAGTATACTAGTCATATGGCTAAGTGATCTATGATTGGATGTGCTTTTTTCTATATGGATAATTTATGCTAATTAGAGAAAGAATAATGTAAACACTTTACAATTGATACATAGTAGTAGCTAAACCTTAGCCTATTTGGGTACTTAAATGAAACGGAACGAAGCTATAAACAAATATTTGTACAAAACTTTCGTGCAGTTATTTACAGGCATTACATAAGAGAACTAATTGCAACTTATTTAAAACTAATTCAAAGTCTTTTCAATATGATTCCAACGAAGCTCCAACGATGGTGTCTGCTGTGCGCTGTGTGGGTACGAGATCACAGAGATCGCTTCCGTTCAGGATGTGGCCATCAGCTTGGCGGCCTGGATGACATTGTGCTGATGATGATAGCCGGCCAGATCGCCGCTCGCCCCACCAGCCATTGCCGACGAGGCAGCACCGCCCAAAGCACCAAACGAAGCGCCAAAGTAACAATTGTTCACATAGTCGTAATTAGTGGCACTTGCCTCTGTCTTCACTCCATACGCCGCAGCAGCTGCTGCCGCGTGCAGATGATGATGGGCTGCCGTGGCGTGGTGGCCGTGCGAGCTGCTCGCCAAATGATGGTGTTGGTAGTGCGGCGAGGGCGTGCCGTTGCTCAGTGTGGGCGTGTCCGGCGCATTGCTGCTGTGCGTCGTATACGCAGAGGCCGCGGAGCTGCTGCCGGGCGTATACAGCTGCGAGCTGGCTGCATGCAACTGCCTTGCACTTAACTGTGATTGGTGGCTGAGCTGCTGATGCTGGTGTTGTTGCTGTTGCTGTTGCTGTTGCTGCTGCTGTTGTTGCTGCTGCTGTTGCTGCTGGGCATAGTGTGGAAAGCATTGTTGATGTGACGGCACCGTCTGCTGCTGCGGCTGCTGGCTATGATGCTGGCCCATGAGGCTGCTGCTCTTCAACTCCGTATGCAGCTTGTTCAGACCGTGGCGTTCCAGGCTAAGCGTGGGCTTGAGATCTGTTGGAGAAGGTACAGAGAAAGCGACAAAAATAAGATTAGAAAACTTCAAAAGGGAACGTTAGTATAATAAATGTACAATATCTATAACAAGAACAGACTGAAAGATGTCTGGCTTAATATAAATATTATGGTATTTAGCAATGGCTCTGCAAACAGGAACATACATTATTTCGTTTTTCTCTCGAGTTGATATCGATATATATTATATCAAATTATCCTCATTGTGATTCAGTCAACAATATTAGTTTCACTTTGCTTACCATGCTCCTCTTTGCACTCCTTGATGGCCTCTGTGGTTGAGCCCGATCCCGAGTTAGTTCCCGCTGTGGAGCCGCTGCCAGTTTTCTTGGGCTTCCGCTTGCGCGTCTGAATGCCATCCTTGCGCATCGCCAGCGGCCGATTGACGCCGTGCAGTTTGAAGTAGAGGCCACAGGCATTGCACACGGGCTCCCCGTCGTTGTTGCGTCTCCAGAGTGTGGTGGTGCGAGTGCCACAATTTGTGCAGCAAAGGCCTAGGCGACGTGTGGCGGTCTGTAGGAGTCGGAAAGGGATTAGTATGGATATTGACTGATAATGGAGCTGTGGCTACTCACTGCACTCACCAGTCGCTTGCTGGGCTTTATCAGTGGCCGGTTCATGCCGTTCATCTTGTGATACAGGCCGCAAGCGTTGCAGAGATAGTGGCCGGTGCCATCACGTCTCCAAAGTGGAGTGGAGATGGCGCCGCAGTTGACGCACTCGCGCCCCTCGCCAAACTGAAAGTCCATGGCGCTCTCGTAAGGAGAGGAGCGCTGAAAGCCAGTTGGATCATAGGCACTTCGCCAGGGCGCCATCATGACGGCGGCGTTTTGCGTGTAGAACTGCGCCGGCAGCTGCGCATGTGCCGATCCAAAGCTATCCGTTGTCCACGCGTTCTGGGCGGCTGCAGCGCTGCCAAAATGCGCCGCTACGTGATTATATTGGCGATTGGAGGGCACATATACTGGCGCGTTCACCGCCTGTTGGTGATGGTAGCCAGAGACGCCGGCGGCACCTCCAGCTGCAGCCAAATCAGTGTAGGCGGCAGCCGCAGCGGCGCTGCTGCTATGGTACATCTTGGAGCTGGCAGCGACGGCGGCCACCTGCAGCTGCACGTTGTGGTAGTCGCCGCTCAACTGCGGATAGTCACGCGTTGACTGCTGATCCGAGGTCGACTGCAAAAGAGATGACCACAAAACACAACTAATTAGATCAAAGTAACATATACTCCTTCTCTCACTCTCTCTCTCTCTTTCTCTCTCTCTCCCCTTTCTATCTGTCACTCTCTATCTACTGCCAACTGGCTTTTTCTCACTTCAGTTTTCGGTATCCCAGGTGCAGCTGCCATTGGGCGACACCCCGTTGCGCGTAGCCATTTTGGTTGCTGCCTCTTGCTGCAGTTCTTGAGAGCTGCTGGGCTCCCTCACCATACACTCGCATACACACACATGTGCTCTCTCTCTCTATCTCTCTCTCTATCTCACCCTCTCTCTGCCTCTCAAAACTCGTTTTCCCAACGGCGCCCTTCCATTCCATCCCATCTTAAATGAATGGCGCGCTGCATCTTTTGTGACTCGTCTTTGTATCTTTGTGCATTTGCAGCACTCACAATTGAGTTTCATCTTTTCGCCCTGCGTAGGCTCCACTCTTTTTTCTTTGCATATACATATATACATGTACATATTTGCTATATGTACGTGGGCTTGGCCGTAGCTTTTTTAATGATGGTCATAACTATTATATGGGATGCATTATATTCATTATCAACAATATTAATCATAATTTTACGGGCACAAAAACCTGTTGAGGTGTGTCTGCATCATATAGGTGTAGAGGTTTTAAGAGTCGATATAAGCAAAGTAGTGTAAGTTTTATTTAAGTAAATTAGCACTGCTAACTAATTACTATTAATTACAATATCTAAACATAGAAGCTACACAGATGTTGAGATTTCTACTTTTTATCCAGCTTATTGCTGGTTATGATATTACAATGAGCTAGTAACTTAATGAGCATAACTTATATACATATATATGTATTCTAATTTTCCTGAGTTTGAAGAAGTTTGAAAAAAAAAAAAAACGTTTTCATTACTATTTACTATATTTATATATAATTTTGACCATCCTCCAATTTAGTTTAATATTTGCAGGTTTACAACATGATATGTCAAACCATCATAATTTTATTTCAATTACTTCTCAAAGCCAAAAACAATCTTACTCTTCTCAACCAAATTGCTAAAATTTGTTTTCACCATTTGAAAGCTTGAAAGTTACTTTTTTTTATAATTTTCCGTTTACTTTAAATAAATGTATCATTCAGCATTTTTGCACCACATGAAATGTCTTCAAGTGCCATCGGCTGACTTTAAATACATTTTCCGCATAGTCTTTTGATTTTGTTGTTGTTGCTTTTCCTCCTTTACAAAAAGTTCAATAACCAAAAGGCATATAAATATAGAAATCTGTTTTTCACATCAAAATCAATTAAGGCGCCAATTCCATATATTTGTTGTATTCATATATATTATTGAAATATATGTACGAAAATACATTTGACGTCTTTATCTTATCCCAGAATATTAATGCGATGATGTATGAAATTTTTAATTTCAATTTGCGCTTTTAATCTCTGCTGATTCCACAAATCAAACGCACATACAACTGTTGCGCTGAGGGGTATGAGAATTTAGACGCATATGGTAAATATTTTATAACAAACAGCTCAATTGGACTCGATACAGCATATTACTCAATACAGGAAAATTGACTATGCGCAATGCGCATATTGTTTAAGAGAAGAGCTTTCGCTTAGCCGGCGGCACTTTCGGTTTTATTTCAGAACAGAAACTGAATAAAATAAATGATTTAGCAATTCTCCACAAGAATTGTAGGATGCAAAAAAAAGCTGCAGCCGGTTTCTAATTAGCGTTTCGATAATTTCCATCTAATTAAACGTGGGCAAGGAAAGCCGTTTGCAACACTTTTCCCCATTAGCCAGAAGATCAATTGACGCACATTTTAACACAATTCTCGAAATGCCAACGAAATGTGCAGCGTTCCACAAACGCATTTGAGGTAAGGGGAGCAGCATAACAGCAACAACAAGAACAACGAGAATTCGAGTCATCAAAGAGTTGACCACGCGTGCATAATGACGTCGCTCCCTTTAGAAGATCAGTCGATCAAAGAGAGCACCGTCCATTGCCGATACTCGAGGCGGTGCTTCATCAAAGGAGCGGCGACCACACGAAAAATTGTCAACATGTTGCAGCCTCGAATAGCCAGGATCGAGATCCGAATGGGATCAGTGCGCGATCGCAGGCACTTCGAAGTGACTGTAGAGGCGCTTATTAAAATGCGAGCACAAAAACAAAACTGAAAAGCAAGAAGAAGAAGGAGATGGAGATGGAGAAGAAGCAGAAGAATGAAGGTGGAGAGAATTAAAATAAAGAGCAATAAAAAATCAATTTACTAAAGACGAGCCACAAATCGAGGATCAGCAGGTCGCGACGCTGATGAGGACGATGAGTAGAACGTTAATAATTTGTCACTGCAAATGAAGGAATAAAAACAAACAGAGAAAACCACTTGAGCGGCGGCCAAGTGAATGAATAAAACCGAACAAAAAAATAACAGAAGAAAAAAAAAAAAAAAAACAAACAAGCCAACAACATCGAGGAGGGGTTCGGGAACACTTAGGATTAAAGCGGCGCTTTAAGTGGTTTTTTATAAGTCTCTCGGCTTAGGCTATGATGAAACCGGGTGCGCTCGCTCAGTGGACGACAGCGCCAGCCAGGTCTATGCCAAGTGGATCCTGTTTTAGTTACTTCTCCACACCCCCTTCCTGCTGACTTCAGTTAGACACACTTGACTCATTCATGGATCGTTGCGCTCTCACAACTCTAGCTAGCGGATGTCAACTAAATATTATAGAGTTTAGTTTTCCTGTAAACGTTTGTTCGATGTCATTTATGCACCGAAAGGTGCGCCAATTGCCTAGTAATTTCGTTAGGATTAGAAAGCTACAATGATGAGTAAAGACAATAATCTTTTTTAATGAATGTAATTAAATAATTATTTAATTGAAATTCGAATAAAATTGCCTTTATATTTTAGTGATATAAAAATTCAGAAATTAAATATTTGAATAAATGAAAAATTGCATTTAATTTACTATTTTTCCGTTGAATTTTGATATATATAAGATATATGCTTATACTCTAAGAAGCGAAGAGTATTTGTATTTGAGTATTTGAATAGAACAGGCTCAAATTTACGATTTGTAGACAGAGTGTCAATGGGAGAAATATATGATTCAATTTGCATTTATCTAAGACTATTGATTAGAAAAATCGTAAAACAATTAGTCTAAATAGTTCCAGTTTATAGTTAGGCCTATTAGTTTCTCTAACTAGCAATATCAATTAGTCTAAGTATAAAGACATTTCAAATATTTAAATACCAGTTTAATTAAAATATGATTTATAGATGGGAAGTTAAGCGTGTGTGTTGGAGTGAATGAATGGTATGAAAAATAAAATCTAAACTTACATCGCCATCACTTAGCAAAATTCCCATAATTTATTGGTTTATGTTTTCGCGCGATTTTCTGTGTGGCAGCTTGTTTAAGGATTGATTTATAGTAACGCGGAATTCAAGTTCAAATTGTATCACAGAAATGCAAAAATAAGAAATTAATTGCAACAGACTTGGAAATGTTGAATTTGGTTACATTTATTATTAATATTTATGCGGATCGATCGTTTGGATTGAGCATTTAATGGGCTTTGTTGTAAGCCTTTTGATTAATGCGGCTAAGAGACCAATAAATTTTCGTATTAATCCAGTTACGAGCACTTAACAGATTTGAGTAATTGTTGCTTTTGTTTTTATTTATTTATTTTTTTTTTTATAATTGTTGTGATTGCTGTTGCGGAACGCGAGCGCAACGAACCGACTTCCTTGAGGCGTGCAAACAAACTAAAAAACGCCTCAAAGTAAACAAAAACTTAATCCCAAAAATCCAGTTTCAGTTGACGCCGACGCCGATGCCGACGTCAACATCGGCTGCGACAGCAGCAGCGACAGTGACCGAGAGCAGCGCCACGCAAATCGAAGAGAAGTCAACGGCAACAACATAAAAAGTCAATTTCATCAATGGGCAGGCAAGGCAGTCCGTCCGTTTGTCTGTCTGGCTGCTGCCTACTCCCTTTCTTCGAGTGTCACTTGCAGGCGTTGCCTTCACACAAACGCAGTGTGCAAGCGAGATGCCAGACACGAGAGCGAGATGGAGATGCCGTCGGCTGAGTGACAGGTAAAAATTTGTAGGTGCATTTCAAACGCAGCTACTGCGCAGTCGACTGCGCTGCTGCAGCGAAATTAGTCAATTTGATGTAAGTCTGAAGAAATAGATATTGCCCCGCACTTGAAACCGAAAACAGGTTCGACACTCGAGCTACTTGCGCCTAGCGAAACGGTAGGAACTCGACTGCATGAGCCAGCGTGAAAGTAATCCGCTTGATCGATAGCCGACCGGGCTTAGCAGCGCTGATCCGGCTGACCCCGCTGCTCAGAGGCCGTAGTGTCACCAGGTCGTTAGATCGTGCTGTGGGCGTGAGCAAGTGCCCAAAACAGTGACCCTATAAAAAAGAGGCCATGACAAAGATCGAAGGATATAGTTTAATTAATTGACGGTTGCGTGTATGTCCAGCGCCTAATAAGGATCTATTTACTCTGATGTCGCTAATTGCAAGGGATTCAGAGAAATGTGAAGGCCTTTTTTTAAAAAAAAAATCACATTGAATGATATATATGTGCGCATTTCAAAAGAATGAATTTGGTAGCTAAAAACATTACAGATAATCAGATTTACGATTACCTTTTTAGAGCTGAGACAATAGGTGGTTCAGATCAGCCTTGTTGGGATTTGGAGTGCTCTAAATATTATTATAACCTAACGTATATAATAATTAATAATTAAGCCACATTTATATATTAATATGAATCACTCCTATGTTCTGTATATCATTTAGTTTTTGGTTTTATTATTCAATTATAATCAGTATTTAAAAAAACAAGAGATTAACATAGGCAAAGGAATGACTTCAGCTTAATGGAAATATCAATTTATTTCCTGCAGTCTTCCTTATATATTTTTTGATCGTATACCACCGAGGACTATCTCTATAGGTATAGAGAAAATTTAATTTTATATTTTTATCTAATTATGTCATTCAATACACAAACATAAAAAGGTTCTTTGACAAATGCTTTCGGCTTCTATTGGCCATTTATTCATTGGCAATCATCAGTTCAACAGATTAGCACAAGTGGGCCAATAGCACTCACAATATTGTTAAAACTCATGGTGTGGATCATTAATCAAACGATTTGCCTCAGTTGCTGTTCAGTGAGAATCACATAATTCACCCATCAAAAAAGGTTCGTTGGCAACCTTCCTCCCCAGCTGGATGCTAAACAAATTCTTTCCATTAAAATGCAAAAAAGCAAGCAGATCGAGTGAAAACTGAGTCAAAGCAGACGCGGGAGAGTAAGAGAGAGGGAGCGAGATAGAGAGTCTGCTGAAGCAGAAGGAACGAAAGATGTCAAAACAAAAAAACCGCAAGCCAGACAAGCGCATATTTCAATCGACGCTGACACATCCTGCTGCGCTAATGGACCTTAATTTGTGAACAGCTTTATATATCATGCGCCGGCCCGTTAATGTGATCATCCACACGATCTTGTTGACGAGGCGCAGCCACCATATGTAGCTGGATCCGAAGCTGCTGCGGTGATTAACTTTTATGACGTTTATCAGGCGAATACGTTGAAGGAAAGGCAACGATACGAGCACAAGACATGGCACGCGCTTTCCTGGAACCACGAACTAAGCGAGTCACCATGGAAAATTCTTCGATATCAAAAATTTGAATGAAAGTAAAGTAAGTTAAGAAAATTGTATAGAGAGAGTGGGTTGAAAAATCATTGATATGCATATTAGTTGTCTGATAACAGCCAGACAAATGATAATTGCTCTGGCTCCACTAATCCTGTATACCCTTTCAGTTGCCCTACCCAACATTTTGGAAAATGTCACCGAAATTTCAAAGTGGCGTCACCGCCACCGCCAAAGTCTATCCCAAGTATTCTATAAGTCCCCTTAAGCGCTCTAGTGCATTGCATTTGATTACAATGCCTATTGATCGTCTCATGATTGTTTCACTCTCATTGTCGCTTGATCAATACGTGCTCTCTTTCCCTTTCTCCCTATCTCTCCCTCTCTCTCGCTCTTTGTTTCTGTTGCCATCTCGCGCGCTCCTTCGGCAAAGATGAAAGAAATCTTTATTGGTTTTTGTAGTGATTTTAAGTGGATTTGTGGTTCGATTCTTAATGGCAAAGTACGCCAGCGGCAGCAGCCACAGCCACAAAATCAACAACAACAGCAACAGCAACAGCAGCAGCCGCAGCCGCAGCAGCATCAACGGCTCTCATCCGCCTTCAACTCTACTCCGCTCTCAGACCCATGTTTGGTGGTTATATCGATTTTATTCAAATTTGTATGTTTATTTCTTCTGATGCGTAATTATGAGAATCTTTTCAGATGCAGACGTCTCTCTCTTGAGTGTTTTAGGCAGTTTAGAGTTGTAATTATAGCGTTTTTATGTAGCAAATGCATTCGTAGAGTGTATCAAGCGATTTGTGGAGTTTACATGCATATTAAGAGTTATATGTGTTCGTGATGAAAGAAGTGTTAAACTGAGTGTGTGCTAAAAGCTTAGCTGGGTAGCTTTGCTTGACAATTGTATTTCAAATATAAATATAAAGTAGTAATTCCAATAATTATGTGTTTATGTTATGATTAAAAATAGTCCATTATAACATATTCACAATGAATATAATTAATAATTATTGATGCTCTACTCTATCTTAGATTTAATTGAAATTATCTTTAAAAATAAAATTAGCATAAATAAATCATATTTATATAGTTTATGTAGGTAATTTATTATATTCTTGTGGACCATCTAGTCATAATCTGCAGTAAGCCTGTAAAATAATCATTCGTATTTTCCCACTAAAACGTTCTTTAACAAACAAATCTTAGCCATATTTTGCATACCATATTTTTTTTAGGGTGCCTTCTGTCTGCTTCCACGTGAGTGACATTGTGGCAAATGAGTATTCAAAGGAGACAACCTATTCAAGATTTCAGTGTAGTAGAATGTATTCGATAAGACACAGTAATTGAGAATTTCCTGATGGCAATAGGTGCTTTTACTTATGTGAATATGTGTATATCTGCATGACTTATCGCAATGCAATTAGGGCTTTTGTCTGTGCGCCGTGGCTGAAACAATTACTCATCGCCGTGACACATGAGTGCCTTGAAGCTACATATGTCCCACACACTTGCAGGGGAGTTGAGTCGCTATCCAAAAGGCACTTGACAACAACTAAAACGCAATTGAAACGCGGCTACTACACATTCAGCAACAACACTGAACGAAAACTCAATTTGAATATTTCAAGTGATAAGCAAAGAGCCTTCCCTCAAACAACAACGAATGATATAAGCATGCTTGAGCATTTAACTGATTGTTCCAATCGGTGATTTTGTGAGAAGAACAGTGTTAGCCCATAATTTCATTTCATAGCTCATAGCTCGAATACTTTGTACTGGTACGCTATTCTATGGAGCGGCGCACTTATGTCTTATCAACTGCTGAAATGATGGCGGAAATGGTGCTCTATTGTGGTTGTGGTTGTTGTTGTTGTTGCTGGTTTTTGTTTAGAAATTGCTGATAGTGCTTTAATTTGTATGCGTTTTGTTTTATAATTAATTGGGAGTTGTGACAATGACCAATTTTATGCTGGTACATCGTGTGTGAAAGGCATGCGAAACAAAAGACTTAAGCAACGAACTTGCTGGCAATATCCTTGCTGCTAGCCCAGTGAGCTGCGTAGATGCTCCACACGAAATCCGTTGAAATCTCGATCTGACCCTTCTGCTGGCGTCTATATTAAGCAACTCTTTCGCTTGATCTGTGCCGGCAGCACGATTGATCTCAGACGCTATCTTTCCTCTTTCTCTCACACACACTCTCCTCTTCCTCTGGCTCGTTCGACCACACCGGCAGCACCAATGACAAGTTTTCGGCACGCGGGCAGACAAATTCCAACTCCATGCCTTTGCTGCAACAGGAATTCAAATGTGGCTTGACTATATGCATATATACATCTTTCTGTGTGTCTGTCTGTCTGTCGGCTGTCCATGCCCAAAGCTTTTAAGTGTCTTGGCGTCGGCGCGGCTTATGCCGTCTGTGTATCTACCACAGCCTTCGTCTCTCGGCATCGTTTCATTCGTGACATTTACATTTGTGAGAGCATTGTCGGAGACATTGTCAGACCCGGTAACAATTAATAGCTGTGGAAAACTCAACATTCGTTTATTTGATTGCTTGGCGCTGGCTGTGAAAAGATCTCGCCTAATTTTCCCTTGTCTTTAATTAATTAACTACAATCATAATAATTTACTAAAAAAAGGTGTAGAAATCTCTTGAAAGTCGCGGCTTCCACGATTTCGATTTTTATGACTTTTGGCGCCAGTATTCAGATGGGGAATACTCTGATAAGAAATTCTGCTCTTCTGGATTATTTTATCGGTCGTTATGAAATTTTAGCTCACGATTTACTCATTTCCTTATCGTCAGGCTTATAGGCCAGCTGCTTCCTTTCTACTAACGATAAAGCAACTGATTTTGTTTTGTGCTCTTACGTTCCACTTGGAATTATTCGCCTGATAAGTGCTATATTGTGAAATCGTTATGAATAATGCTAAGTTATCGCAGCAGCTACGATAAACGATGTAATATATACATATGGGCTTATTTATTGCCGCCACTTTTATTGAATTTTATTAGCATATGAAATAAAAACCATAAAGCATAAATCAATTTATAAACGAAATTGACACTGGCTTTCAACTTTCAAATATGGGTGCAATATAAATAAAATTTGTATTTATTAATAAATGTAACGCTGGAGCGGGAGTATGATAAAAAGTTCACCATATATGTATAGCCAATGTTATTATGCAATGTTTTCCTTGGAAAATCAGTTTGTGTCTCTACTATCCGCCACACAGCAAGCCACTCAGACGTCTGACGCCAAACAATTTCTATTAGCTCGATACTTGAGGTCCGTGTCCAGGTCGAGTTCCCGTCTGTCAACCAAAAACCTCTCGTGCAATTAAGCAACGCCGCGTAACGCACGACATGACTTCTGACTTCCCCTGTCGCTGTCCCTGGGCCTGGCTCTGCTCCTGACTCCCGGCTTCATCGGGTCAATGGGTCTTGGCCTCTACGTATTTCCTATTGGGCTGGCAGTCCATGTTCCCCGCTGCCCCGTTGACCTGCTTAGTGTGCAATTCGCACATACATATATCATTGCCTGCTGCAATGTTCTGCTTGTTATTTTCGAATTGCGTGCTTCATATTTAATGTTTCGGTTGTGCTACCTGCATTAGTGAGTGAGTGAGTGTGTGTGTACGTGTGTGTATGTGTGCGTCTGTAGGCTTGCAGTAGTTTTGACCGAGTGTTAAAAGTTGCATAATTATGTTTGTTGCATTTTGCTGAGGGTTGACCTGGACAGGGTTGCCAAGCAAGAGAGAGAATTCAAGAATATTACCAAAATAAATGTAAAGAGTAAAATACCTCTTGAAATAATTAAATTACTTTTTTATATATTATATAAAAATGTCTTAATAAACATTTAGACAAAAGGAGCTTTGACTTTATTATTATTTAGTTTTAATATTTATATATTTATTTACATTAACTTCAAATGTATACATATAATTTTTGTAAAGACAATAATTAAAATATTTGCAGCTGTGTATCATATATGTGGCAACCCTATGCGCAACCCAATGACCTTTCCAGTTACCTTGCTAAACGATTTTGGTCAAGATTTATGATGCAATTGTCCAAAAGGCAAACTATTGGCTTGGCTTGCCTTTTTGTCGAGAAACCGATTTTAGTTTTATTGCCTTTTGGTCTCATAAAAGTGTCATAAATTAAAAGGCGCTTAGCCACGCACACACAGAAACATTCACATATATAGAGAGAGATATACATATACATATACATATCGTGCAACCTGTGCCACTGGTCACACGCAGCGTTTTAGATTCTCTTTTTGGCTCTGCTGGCACAGTTTCCATTGCCTTTTGGTCCGTATTTCTGGTCAAAACACAGACATACACTTGGCCCAGCTCGTTTATACTTCCAGCTAATGACTTTATTGGCCTTTTTGCAATGCACTTGAAGTGGAAACTGCTGTCATGTTGTGTCATTGTTGGCCTACGAGAGTGTTCTGCAGTACGGAACCATTGAGCCAGCATTGTTGTCGGCTGTCTGTTTTTGTGCTCGGTGGCGCCAGCATTTAATTGCCCAAAGAAATGGCACTTGTCGCTCATGTGCCGAGATTCGGCCACTAGACAAGAGCGAAAGTGTAGCAAGAGTTAAGAGCGGGTGTGTCATTGAGATAGGACTCAGCCAGTTGAAGGTTACAGCTGAACGATTGCAGCGAGTGGCAAGTTCTTCTTTATTATGAGCAACATAACAATTGTAATAAAGAAAACTAATTAACCTGCATAAGCTCTAAATAATTTATGAAGCGCATTTAACAACAGCTCTAGCTTATCAGCAGCTTACACGTTGTTCTAATTTATGTGCATCTCATTAATGTACGCTTGATGAATAATCATCATTGTTTTCTATGCGCCAAGTTTCGAGCTTAAGTCTTTTGTTGCCTTCTAGCTGATTGTTTGACTGACTGCTGGTTATCTGCAATGAAATTGTGCGAATAAATACATATGTATATGTACGTGGCCCAACTACTGTGTGTATTGAATGTAATTGTTGAATCAAATGTGATGAAAGTTGCATGCCAACTTTCCGGTTTGACGCTGCTTCGCACTTGGCCGTAGTCCCCAAGTAATTGCTCATAAAAAAGGCAAAGGAATAATGTACTTCGTTATCTCTGCAGCACTGGCGATATTGGCCCCGACTTTCAGGCAATGAATGGCTTTTGTCGTATGGAGATCCCTATGCAAAGTGTCGCTGAAATATTGATGACAAATTTATGGTATTGCTTACAAATATTCTCGTGGGAATTTATTGTATTGTTTTATCCATACTTTGCACAAAATACAATAGCTGCCAGCCAGCGAGTTGCATAAATATACGATTGAAATTCAATAAAAAAACCAATAAAAAGTTAAATTAATTTGTTGTACAAGTCATAATTGAAATTAATTTAGCTTTAGATGTTTTTTGAGGCTTCCAATTTGTATTGCTTTGTTCTCAACAAAAATTTCAATTTATGGCTGCATTTCATTGATTTTAATTTTATATTTGTATTTGTTCCCATTTCGGTTTTAAAATAGGTATTCAAAATGTTATCACTTAATGTGTAAATAAATATGGAAGATTATATGTTTTGAAATCAGTTTAGTAAGTTATTGTTATATACTTAAAAATAGTCTGGCTATTGAATTGATATTCAAATCAGGTTTCTGGCATACAAAATTCAATATATTTGCATGATATATATTATATTATATTATTTTATATATATAAATTATAGTTTTGTTGCTAAACTACCTGATCATTCAAGCTTGTTTTATCACACCGGATCGTATTTAACATTTAGCGTTATGTATAGCCTCAGTTGTTCAGTGAGTTGATCTATAAACATTCAGGCCTAAATTTATTCGTTGCTTATTCGAAAGTGAGTTACTTAAATTTAATTGAAATTGCTCAGCTTAAAGATTGCAACTTAATTCAATGATATTAGCTGACGCTAAATTGTTTCATTAGCCTCGTAGCGCAAGCTATGTATAAATGTTATTGCGAATCGTTTTGCAAACTAGATCAACATCAAATGTGAGACTATATCAATTACGAATTAGTTTATTAGCTATGTGCTACGTATAAGTTGAATAACCAAACAATACATTTAAGTGTAATGTATTGTAATTCATATTTAAATATTATTAGTTTAAATTATTTTTGTCATTATTACAATTACTAAATGCAAAAATGACTTTTCCGGGTCGCTAATAAACTTAATTGAATCCGTATCTAATTTATCTCATATCATTTTGTCTTATTTTAAATATCTCAAACTTGTCCGAATACATCAATACCAAATCTAATCAAGGGCTTGACTGTCATAAAAGTTGTATGAATATATTGTCGACTTACGTAGCTTGATAATGCCGAGCTTCGTTCCAATGGATGTCGTTTATTTGTTATTTGTTGTATTCAAATGAGCCAACGTATATCAAGTGGGTTATTATTCTTTATAGCCTTTTTTGTGTATTTTTGTTATACGAATTTTAATTGCTTTTAAAACGCATTTATTGTTCGACAGCAAACGTTTTGTTCGCTTTGCTAAACTATGCGATTTATATTGAAATGCGAGTGCACATAAATTTAATCGAATTCCGTTTTTCAGTGCGTGCGCTGTGACATAAATGACACGACACTTACAGATACACCGATCGAGATACAGATACAGATACCGCAGCATAAACGGATACAGATACAAGTGTGTTTAGAGATACGCTGCACAGTTTAGAGACACATCATTTGCATAACGCTGGCGAAAATGATGGAAGCAAAAAATAATTAGCATAACACTAACACACTAACACAAGCACAAACACCAGCTTATGCGCATTAAACACATAATTAACAATAGAAATTTATCAGATAAGGCGACACGCAAATCTCGATGAATAGAGTTTAGCAACAAGCAGCAACTATAGTGAATATCCAGAGAGCTGCTGTTATTATTTAATGGGTTTTGTAATAGATTTTAGATCATAGACACACAATTCACAATTGGCGACGGCTTTTCAACGCATTCACAATTTTACGCCGCACACGGCAATTCTGCATTTTCGCGTATAAACGTTCAAGTTTAAACTGAATTCACAACTCGAATTGCCAAAGTTTTGGCACCAGAGCGCGCTCTTGTTGTTGTTATTGTTGCTGTTGGTTTCTGATTGGAATGGGGAAGCACGCATAGGGCAACAAGATGGAGCGAGCGAGCGAGCGAGCGAACGAGGCTTGTGTTGAGCTTCCGGTTGGACGTACGCTGTGAGCGCGACTGTCGCGCCGCGGCTGCCGCAGTGGGCAAACAAACGAGTTTCCTTTAACGTCACACACGAGCACACACACACAAGCACGTATACACACACATGCATGCGCACGCTATCGCGCTGTGTCAGTGGGTGTTGCCTTTGTGGAGTTCGTTCGGTCTCTTTCTTGTGTGTTCGTTTGCTCGCCTGCTCGCTCGCTCTCTCGTGCTGGCGCTCGTAATCAAATTGTAGCCATATTAAAGTTTGCTTGATTTGCTGTTTAGATATTTGTGTGCGCGCTGTGTATACATGAGTGTCGTTAGCTGTGTGCATGTGTGAGAGTGTTAGTTCTGTCTGTGTGTGTGTAGTGCTCTCTTGGGACTGCCCACTTTCGTGCTCCGTGTCTCGCGGCTCTCGTGGCGTATGCTCAACATTTTGAATTATGTGCGCTCGCCATAATTATAATCATTTATCATATTGCACTCTCGCACCATAATAATCATTAGTATTAAAATAAAATCTGTAAATTAACCATATATCTTGCAAATAAAAATGCGTGGGTATTTTATGTGCACTTTAAACAACATTTATTATTATTATTATTATTATTATTTTTTTTTTTTCTTTCAATTTATATTTGTAGTTACCAGCTTCTGATATACTCGTACGTCTAATTGATAATTCTCACACCTTCTTATCAATTGCAAATTAAAGTTAAGCCATAATTAAATTCACTGTAAACACATATTTATTATATTATTAATTTATTGCAATCTCATTTAAATGAATGATCATGTCGTAGCTTAATATACTTGATTCTATCTGTTGATAGTTTTTAATATGATTGACGTAAAAACATCACAACATTTAAAATGGGTAACTTCACGATATGCAAATGCACAAGATAAATAAGGTAGGTACAACATCTTAGCTCATCTGTCATTTATTCTTATTCATTAACATACGTTTTTATATGAATTGAATTATAAATTAAAGCCATTTAAAATGGGAATTCGGGTCATATAAGATGTCTTAAAAGTAAATATGTCGTTGCATGTGAATTTGTTAAAAGCTTTGCTAAGCTGTGTTTTAAATCGTATATTTAGCATCTATGATAGTTGGTGCTTCTACAGCATTGCATTTTTAAGTATTGTTAATTTTGGATATCATCTAGTTAGTTACTTGTATAAATTATGTAATTTTCGTTTTAATACATACTATATGTTAACAGTAAAAACAGTAGACTAGTAAAATCCAATTATTGTTATTTTTTTTGTATATTAATAGAGGCATATTATCAAACAAATAATAAGCTGAATTTTCTGAATAATTAAACACATATTCAGACGCTAAGTGTTTATTTAGTGAAAAATATGCTTAGCTTCTCAACCGTAAAAAAGAGCATCTCACACTCCTTGACAACAATAAATTATGCTTCAAGCTTAATTAATAGTTCCGTGCGCTTAAAAAATTGTACAATTAAATGTAGAATTTTATATACAACAGATTGATAAATGAGTGGCGAAGCGATAAGAGAAATCACTGGGCACAGTTGACAGTGTCTACAACGAGTTCAATTACCACAAATTAAATTTATTAAATGCAAAGAAACCAAGTGACGATAAAACCCAATTATTTATAGGCGCAGCCAAAATGCGAGACGCCACAAATGTGACAAATACAAAAGGAACGAGATGTCCGAGAAAAACAAAATAAAACAAAACTGCCTCATAAAAGAGACAAACGCCACACGACAACCAATCCGGCTACCTGTTCGAAGAGCAGGCGCGACTGTGTGTATATATAATTTTTATGGGAAAACTATATATAGGAAAAGCTAACAAGCTCCAAATGAAATGGACTCGAAGTGCGTGTGCGATACGCGGCTGGCCATAAAATGCCGCAAACATGCAACAAAATTTATGCGAAACTTTAATGAAACGCATATGGAGAGTAATGTATTATACTAACACACACTCAACTACATACACAGACACATATACATACATGCACTCACACATATTTGGCTGGCCAATGAACGCGTCGCGTTGCATGACTCCACCTCAAAATGGGGACTCTAAAAGATTGCCCCGCACACGCAACGGGATGAAGTGCACGAAACAAGTTTCTCATGTGGCAAGCAGGCGGTCCGTGCCACAAAGGGACGTCGCGGCGTCCTGCTTGATTGCCAGGCGCGATAAATGCCGCGAGCGCGTGTTACCAAACTTGTGGTCTCCTGGCTCCTGGCTCTGGATTTGCCTGTGACTCTCTGACTCCGACTCCGACTCGAATAGGAACTGGATATCGAGTGACTGCGCCAGACAGCAGAGGAGGTGGCAGAAGCAACTGAGCCAAAAGTGGTAGAATTTGTAATGGTGGCCAGTGTGGCAAGCAACCACAACGCTCACTTGCGAAGCAGGGGCGGCGCCTGAAGAAGGGGCTTTTTGATATATAGAGCATTTATAGATAATTAAAAAAGAAATGTATTTAATTAATGTGGGTTTTATGATGAATTATTATGAATGAACTTTAAAACTTTTGTCACAACTATATAAATACATATAATATAAAATGTTTATTAATTTACACGAATATACAAATAAATACAATTTAAAATAAACTAAGTATAGATTATAATTTTCAGAATGGGCTATGCAAAAAAAAAAAAATAAAATTAAAATAAACAATAAACAATACAAAAGATCATTCTATAAGCTTATTTTACTTCTCTTCTTTTTTATTTTTTATAATTTTTGCTGTTAATCCCCTTAAAAATGTTCGAGCTCTGTCTTTTGTGAACATGCCTCCTGTGGTGGCAATCCAGTCGCCTTTATGGCGCCCAGCTATAAAAAAAAAATGGGCTGTGCTGGGCTGGTCGCTGACTGGTTCTCTCCGCTAAGCCAGCCAGCCCCCTTCGAGCTCCGCTGATCCCCTCAGAGGTTGTCGTTTCTTGACCCATAGGCCAGTGCGGCATGACAGTTTTTTAGGCTTTATCCATGGCACTGCCATTGCAATTAATTTTGGCATTTTGACATTTACGCTTTTTGTTGGGCGCTATCTCAAGCATACGCAAATACTTTTTGTTCAGGTATGCTGACGGTTGATAAGACATTTTGTGTATATCATTTGCAATGGAATTTTCTCACGTTAAAGGGCTTTCGAAAGTTGGCCAGCGTGGCGCCACTTCCCATACCCATACCCCAGAGACCTTTTAATTACTGGCAAAGACAAGTCCTGTAGTCTGCCCATAACTCGTCTAACAACTTTGTCAGCGCGGCAGCATTTGAAAAATTTATGCTGTCGATAAACTAATGAAAAGCCCAACGAGATACTCTAGCACTTAATTGAAGAGCATCCCAGTCATAGATTTCGGCATTTCGAATGGCTGCACTCTCTACATTTTGTCCAGGCACTTCGGATTGCGTTGAGTTATCTGAATCATGAAGTGGGTGCCGTACAAAGTAACCATATCTGCGACTCAACAACTTTGTAGCCTTAATTGTTGTTGACAAATTGCAGTTGTTAAATTTGTCCAGCCTTGGCTCGCATACAAATTAAATTTCCTTTTAATGGCCGTCGCTATTTGCGTAGCAGTAAATGCTTAAAGCCTTGCAATAATATAGCTCTACGAATCAAAGTTAATACATCAAGCTAACAGTATCAGAAAGACATAAAATTTTGTACTTGACTGTTTTCTCATGCAAATGCTCCAATTATAAACAGCTTATAACAGCACTATATTAAATTTGTGGACAATTGGATTAGTAAAGGGATGATTCCAGATTTCATTATATTCTGCTTTATCTAAATCATATGATTTATCACTTGTCAATTCCCAACCCAATTAAATTTTGATAAGGGTAATTCATATGAGGAGAAGATATTTTTGCATATTAATAAATAACTTTAAATATATAAGTTGAAGTTGAAGACAAATTAAAATATAAATAAATTTATAAACCAATTAAAAACTCAAATATACTACTAAAATTAGAATTATCGTTGTGTAAAAAACTTTGTAAATAAAATACAAAGTACAGTTACTATCAATAAAATATTGCATGATCCCTTCATTACAGATTACTGTAAATGGATTTAGCTTAACTATCATTTAAAGCTTGCACTACGAGCATTCATGGTAAAAGTATGTATTGCATTTTCATATTGTATTTCGTTTCGATATGTGCCCTGGCATGACAATATAAACAAAATCCTACGACTGATACCACTAATTATTCCAATTGGATACACAATCGCCTTGCATGTTCTGCCATCTGCAGCAGCAAAATAAAACTTGGAGCTCACAAATGGCCTAGAGGCAATATCTGACAAGCCGGCCAGTCCGGCTGTCCGGCCGTCCGATCTGATGTTGGCTCTCTCTCCCCTCTGCACTTAACCACATCCCCGCACCAGCTGAGGTGACATTTAAAAGCTGCAAGTGCATTAGTGTGAAACAAGGATCGAGGCGCCGTCTAAATTACAGTGCCAGCCAAACACACACGCACAGATAGAAAGATATACACACACACACAGGCATACACACATGGCATCGTGATCAATATCAAGTACCATTTTCAACGCTTCCTTTGGCGCCACATTTCTGTTGTGGAAGTGGAATGGGACCCTTTCTCAGCTGCGATCATTTTGCCCATGTGCGTTTCGGAGATGCAAACAAAAAGTCCGCGGCTCTGACGATAAGCAGAGACACAGAAATATGCGCAGAGTGCTGCAGCCTCCAGACTATAGAGCTCCAGAGACCGTGCGCTATCCTGCAAGCCAGCTGAACTCTTTTTGGGTTCGTTTGTCTCTTAGTTTTCAGTTTTTCTTCTTTTTCTGTTGCCTTGTGTTTCTGTTTCGATAAGCGCCGCATCTTCAATCTTCCTCTACGACGGCGGCGGCGTCTGCGTTTCGTTGCCCAAAGAGCCCATCATCATCATCAGTGATATGCTTTACGCCGCAGAGTATCCATTAGTTGAGTCGCCGTTGCCGTTGCCGTTGCCGTCGCCGTCGCCGTCTGGTATTGGGCAACTCAGATAATGTGATTTTGGGTTCGACCCAAGAACGAGAAATGGAACGAGACGCGCGTGAGTTGTGATAAGCAGCAGAGACAAGGGAATACCTTGGCTCATCGTTCCCGCTTCCCCAGTCCGACGCTTGCTCTGAGCCAATCTCATTTTGTATTCCGTGTGAATTCGTGGAATTTCGATACTTTTTCCTAGAACTCGAACGATTACGTGTGTGTTTCAGTTGACTTGGCTTTTGTGACGTCATATGGGCATAGAGGCTGGCTAGGCTCCACGCTGGTTTAGACCGACTAAGTGGGCGTCTTGTTAAGGTAGAAAGCTCTATACATGGTCATTTGTATGTTGAACTAGACAGTTTGCATAGGAAATCATCCACAGATTGAACGGAAGTGTCAAATATTTTTGATATAGTTAAAGCTAAGTATTGTATAGAGAATGTTCATTTTATGACAGTTACATATATTTTACTTTTAATTAGCAACGGGACAGTTAAACTAATCTGTTTTTTTTTTTTTTTTTGGACGTTGTAAAAAATTTTAAATATATTTTTTGTAACAATTAGTAGCAATTAGCAAGTATATAAAATAATTTTATTAAATACATTTTTAGTATATACATAAACTTTTAATAAATAACCTTTTGTCTAAAAATTTAGCTTAGGCCGATTTTTAGTTCCTGTCTCCAGGTCATGATCTATTTATCTCTTTCCCTCTCTCGCTCTTTCTCTCTCTCTCTCTCTCTCTCTCTCTCTCTCTCTCTCTGTCTCTCTCTATTTTTCCCAGTTAGTCTATTGCCCTCTCCCTCTCTGAACTGACAGCCTTCAAAAGTCGGCGGCGGCGTCTGCCTATCTTCTTTTATCTATTTTAACTGCGCGTTGTTAAAGCGCATTTTCGTGTCGTTTGTCGATTTGTAATGCTGGGCAACGATGTTGGCAACTGGGATGGGATGGAGCTGAGATGCAGTTGAGCCACCATGGTCAAAACCAACCAACCACCACCACCAACTAGCTAAGCTCTCACTCTCTCCTTCTCTATCTCTCGCTCTCATTCTCGCTCTCGCTCTTTTGGCAGCGGCTTAGGCGCTTTGAAGTTGCCTAAGTGGCGCCTGGAAGCCCGCTTGGTGCGTGGCGGGTTCAAAAGGCCGCCTTGGTTGGTGGTCAACAACGGCCCAACAGCACATGGCTCAACATGTTTCATCTGGCTAATTAAATGCAGCTCGCCGGACAGTTTGGACACTTTATGTTGGCTTTTATCGCCGCCATGCACCACAGCTGGTATCTCGCCCAAGTCTATCTAAACAATAAACAAACGCATCAGCTATTTATTATTATTATAAAATTGTGTGTGTGTACATGAGCGAATGCTTGAAATGCATTGCAATTAGCTTAATAAAAATTCAAATGCATGCACAGCCACAGAGATTAGCAAAATGTTGCTATCCAGCCCGCTCTCACTTGCTCTCTCTCTCTCTCTCTCTCTCTTTCTCTGTCTGTTCCTGACGTCTGGTCTCAATTGGCTCTCCGTATAACAGTTGTACGTCTGTCATAATTTCTGCGATAGTGTCACCAGGCACAAGTGCGCCATGTGCTCCCCATTTGACAGCCATGTGGTTGGGGCTGCGGCTGCGGCTGCGTATCTGGCTGTGCTGGAAGGTGAGGTGGTGTGTGAAAAATGGCGCCCCGCAGCCGTATCTTGTCGCTTGTCACATTGAATTATTATTTTATGGTCGGCTTGGTCGTTTTTTGCAGTTCTAGAATTGCAATTGGCCAAGAAACCGAACTGGTTCGCTGGTGGTAGCCGCCGCATTACCGCAGCTCGCTAATGTTTTAATTTGTTGCAGCTGAGCGGATCGGGTCTAAACGGGTGTGGCATCCATCCGAGACCATTGGCTGGGAATACTACTCTATAAGGAACTTATTATTTATTATTAAATAGACAACGACAGCCCCACTATAGATTTTTCTCCGAAAGATAAACCTTTATTACATGCTGAAATAATGGCTTAATAAGTTGATTTTCTTCAGTCTACCCTCTGTAGGTGCATCATCCGACTGTCAAGTAATTCTCATTTGTTTTCGTTTGTTTGATTACATTAGCATTAGTCTTTGCTTGAAGTGTTTAGTCTTATCTTGGTTACATCAGAGAGCTGAGCTACGATAGAAGACCCTCTGACTGCTTTACCAAAGTGTTTCGCAACTCCCACTCAGGGGTAACAAATAGCTTCTTCTGTCGGGCCCACGGGCCCCAATACCAGGCCGCTGCACTTGCACAACACTGCAAAGCGCATAATTTGTGCAGACACATTCCGAAAGAGTCGCTGCAAGAGTCGGTGCTGGTGCCGCTACTGCGCATTGCGGTCTCTCCGTCCGTCTCATTACTCATTCAAGCACTCGCATTCGCACACAGTCGCCGTCTTCCCTCGGATCGCCAGTCCCAGTCGTGCAGCTCCGGCCAGAGTCGGGGCTTAAGATACTTGGAGCGCCGGCCAGCGAACGCTAATAAAAGCGGTCGTAAAACAAGTTTGCCTAATTGATCGAGCGTACGCCAAAAAAGAAAAAAACAAAAAAGATATGAGAATGGAACAGAGAGGCGAGGCAACGAAGACGACCAAAGGCCAAAGAAAATCAGACAAAGGCAACGAACAACTGGAACTGGAATTGGAACTGCAACTGAGAACGATCCACGATCCACGATCCACGGTCCATGTTCACATCAAGGCGTTAATATTATACCAAGCTTGCTCGGTTCGCAATCGGCCAGGAATTTTTGCCATACCATTGACGACACTTCAAAGGCAGCGCCACTTGGCGGTGGCGTTACTCCGCGGCGGACAGGCTTTTAAGCGATGACACCAAATCGCTATTTAGACACAGTCCGAGAGCCCGAGAGCCCGAGCGACTGGGGCTCAGCCAGAGCCAGAGCGAGGGCTCAGTGCTTGGCTTTCTTTGCAGCCTTTTTACTTGTTAAGATTTTATGGTCCGCTGTGCTCCGCACCACTGTGGAGGTCATTAAAATTAATTTGGATCAATTTGGCGAGCTGCCAAATTGTTGACAATGAAAAATAACAGTCTATCCAGCGAAGAGTAGAGTCATCAAACTCTTGAGTGTCCTGCGTTTACAACTTATTTATTAATGTAAAAAGTAAATCTTAGGTATATACAAAATCGAAGACATTTTTATGGTTCTGTACTAAATTACTCTCTACAGTGTTATGCTACATTCAAACACGTACATATGTATATAATATTGTTGGCATGTATTACACCCTAAGTAGTGTCCACAAATCATTTCGAATAATTTGTAGAAAGTAGTTGGCTAAGGCGGCGGAAGACAAAGGACTTGTTGCCTTACAAATGGCGAGATCATTCCAATTAGAAACAAGTTAATATAACGAGTTTATAACTGACTGAAAGTAAAGTTCATTCATTTATAAGTTCATTTGTTCATTTAATGAGTTGGAACTAGTTCGTTTTCTGCTTTAAATCTTTTATAAAATTGAGCTCAAACGGAAAAGCAATTTTTAGTGGTCTTATATAACTAAATAGTTATTATTTAGATTGAACTACTATTTTTCAAGAAACTTCTCAAAATTGAGCTGATACAAAATCTAAAGGGCGAACGCGAGGTATTTTCTTAGTAGCCTATGACAGTACGTGAGGTACGTGAGTACTTCTTGAACTCAAACAGAAAGGAAAAAGCATTTTACATCAACTCAATCATCTAACGGATCCTTACGCGAAGGGTATTTTTAATGATCTGCTCATTCTGAATCTGGAATATAACTATATTGAGAACTAAACTTCTTTTCTCGAATCGAATCCACCATTTGCAATGTCTTTGAACTGGGACTTGGGCATCTCTTCACTAAACTAGGCTTATATAAATAAATTGTCAATTTTGACATTTTGGTAAAGTTTACTATAGCTTAAATTGTATGGCTTAGTTATTCGATGAGCGCTCCGGCAGACCTGTGCGTGTTATGACACTTGGAGTCAGCTCGCTATTGGAGCTGCGTCCACTTTCAATTGGAGGAACCCTGTGAGACGAATAATATTGTTTAAGAATAAGAAATCAGCTGGACTTGTATCAATTTAACTTACGACTGAGCTATCTGCCGGTTCAATGTGCTCGAATTTGGCAGATGAGGCGATTGGCTCTGTGCCGGAGGCTGTTGCTGCTGCTGCTGTTGTTGCTGCTGCTGTTGTTGTTGTTGTTGCTGCTGCTGCTGCTGCTGGCTGTAAGGCGAGTGGCTCTCACTGGTCACTTGGTGACGGGACATGTTCAAGGTGCCATCCGATGTCGAAACTGGAGGTAACGCTATGGCCACCACATGCGCTCGGCTGGCGGGTCCAGTCGTGGACATATCATGTAGCTCGGGGCTGCCATTCGGTTGGCTATTCAACAAGCCCACCTGGGATGGATAGAGCGGGCCATTAACCATTAGACTAACTCCCTGTGGCATGCCTGTGTAAAATAAAAAAATAAATAAATTGATGAAATAATATATTTACATAATTAATTACGATTGTTAATAGTTTAAAAAAAACTGAAGTCGGAATATTGTAGCTTAATAAAAATTTGTTCAGATTGCCAACTATAATTAAATTAATAATATAGGGTATGTCTGATTCTACTATATATATATACATATGTATTAGATTGACCCATCTCTCCTTCTCTCTCTCAATATCTCTCTCTAGTCTACTTATTTAATTAGTCATTTATTTATAGCCAGCAATTAATTATTGTATTATTAATCTTATTGTGCTTAACTCACACCACACTGTGATGGATGAGAATAACCGATCAGCATATACTTACTTGGCAGCGCTCGATGGGGCAGAGGGCCTCCATTGTTCTTTGGTTTTCGCTTGCGCTTCTGTATGCCCTCCTTCTTCATGGAGAGCGGGCGATTCATATTGTGCAGCTTGTAATAGAGGCCGCAGGCATTGCAGACGGGGTTGCCTTCATTGTTACGTCGCCAAAGCGTCGTTGAGTTGGTTTGGCAGTTGGCGCAGATGACGCCACTTCGACGATTGTTTGGCGCGGCTGCTGCTTTTGGCTTTTGGCGCTGTGGCACATGGCGAACCGGCTGCGTTCGGCCATAGCTGGTGCAATTCGGACAATTGGGCCAGTCGGAGCCCTTGCGAATGAATGGTATCTGGCAGGTCTCACACTTGATCTCCTGCAGAGCGAGCGATGTGGGGGGCGTGGCACTGCTCGCCGACATGGTGGGGTCGTAGTTGCTGATGCTGCCAGCTGGCGCCCAATGACCACCGCTCATGTTGGCCGTGGTGTAGTCATCAATAACCTGCGCAGGGTAGTTCGACTGGGGGTTGGTCAGGGTATTTAGCTAACTTCTGTGTCTATTTCTAGGTGCTCTACTTACAAATGATACGTTTTGGTACTCGGCGCCGGTGGTAGTCCAAAGACCACCGTCTGTGGCGTTCGTGCCATCAACGAAAGATATCGTCTGATACGGCCCGGCCGCCGTTTGCCTCAAGGGATTCAAGTTCGGATCGGCTTTGGTTATGAACTGCGCTGTGCCCGGCACACTGTAAATGGTGTTGCCCTGCTGCAGTGTAGCCGCGTAGCTGTTGCTGCCGTACGTCGAGTTTGGCGGAAAGGCATAGGCGCTGCCCAGATCCGCATAGGTCTTGGATTCATTCGCCTGCACGCTGGCATCCACAACGGGCGCATCATAGTACAGATTCGCACCAGGCGCCTCTGCATCGCCGCTGGCGGTGGCAAAGCGTCCGTCCTCCGTCACATAGCGCACGTGTGAGTGTCCGACTGCAGCAGCTGCCGCGGCAGCGGCCACAGCTTGCTGATGCTGGTGCTGATGCTGCTGCTGCTGTTGCTGGTGTTGTTGCTGTTGCTGCTGATGATGATGCTGCAGTGCAGCCTCGCTGACACTAATCCCATCGCCGTAAATCACTCCATTTGGTGTAGGGCATTGCTGCTGCTGCTGTTGGTGCGCATGTTGCTGTTGCTGCTGCTGCTGCTGCTGCTCGCCGGACACATCGCTCTTGTCGATGGTCTCTATTTTGATCGGCGCCACGTCGTCGTTGCTGCAAATAATCTGGCCCGATGGATAGGCGTAGAGCGTGCCGGGTGGCGCATTGGCCACCTGTTCGGCCATTTCGGCAACATTCCGTGGTGCCATTTGAATATAATGAGGTGAGTGATGCGATCCGCGCTGATACTCAATGTGGGTTTCCGAGCTGGCGCTGTTGCTGTTGTTGGTGCTGTGTTCGCTCTCCCGCGTCTCGTTCAACTCGCTGCAGATGGATAGGAATCTCACTTTTACAAAGCCCCATAAATGATAAACTATTGCTGACTTACAGTGTTCCGGCAGTAGTTAGGATGCGTCGTTGTTGCGATCGTGGTGCTACTACATACTGCTGTTGCTGTTGTTGTTGTTGTTGTTGTTGTTGCTGCTGCTGCTGCTGCTGTTGCTGCTGCTCATCCGATTCACTAGATTGACTGCTCGCCTGTACCAGAACACCAACATTTGTTGGTGGCTGTTGCTGAGGCTCTTGCTGATCCTCCAGCACGTTGTTGGTCTGCGGATCGTTGCCGTTACTGGACTCAATTTTGATTTTGTCCAGCAATTGCAGCTGTTGTTTGTTCAGTAGTTGTTGCGGTTGCTGCTGTAGTTGCTGTTGCTGTTGCTGTTGCTGCGGCGTTGCCTGCGTTTCCATCTGCAACGACCAAAGAGCAAATGATGAATGAGCAATGAGCAACCTCTTGACAGCTTGTTGTCAAAAGTGTGGCTCCAGTTCCGGCCACACAATGCGAACTTGGCCGGCCGCCTCTATTTCCGCCACAATAAGTCAAACAAGCGCAAAAAACCAAGACCCAAGAGCACCAACTCAAACGAAAGCAAACAATGGCAAATGTTTAAAGGTGCCGCCCAGCTCAGCTCAGCTCAGCTCCGCTTGCGGCTCACAGCTCAATTTGTCGCCTACAAATCATAAAATACAAAATCCGACTACAACTGCGGACCGACTTGCACTCCCCGGGCCTCCGCTTGAACCTCTCTGTTTGTTGTCTGCCTACTCATCGGTGTTGTGCCAACGCAGACCACATACAACACAGCAAACGCCACACACTTTTCCCAATTGCAGTGCAACACACTGTGGTTTTTTTTTTTTGTTTTGTTTACTCCCAGAACTCGGTTTCGTTTTTGGTCTGGGCCGGAAATAAAATTTAACATTTTCGCGTCAAAAGTAAAAAATAAAGAAAACCTAGTTTTACATGAAAACTATTAAAAATTAAACCCACTTGCTTGAATCTTAACGTACGTCAGTTTACTTGGTTTATGACCTCATTTGGTGGGGGTGGCGCAGCTATATGTCAACACCTGGCGATCGTCATTGTCACCTGATTCATGACGGTGCTTTGCGGGCCTCACTGTGCTTCGCTCCTCACTCTTAACGAGTTCCATAAAATTTCAAAGCTTTTAGGCGCGTTTTTATGTCGCTTCGGGGAAAGTCCCAAGTACACTGAACACTAAGAACACTAAATATAAGTATATAAACATATATGTACATATATTTATATACATGAACATGAATATCATTTAGGGCTGTCTGCACATAAAATTGGTATTCAAATAAAAACGTCATTGTCCAAAAAACTGTTAATAATTTCACAGTTACTGTGATATGTATACGTCTAATTTATTCATACAAAATATGTTTTACATAAATGTATATTACTATAACAACTGTGTATTTATCTTAAAGGTATATTAAAAGTAAAATAATATTCTTGGATTATACAAACAATATAACCTGTAATAATATTTGCAGCGAGTAAATATAGAGTTTTTTGATACGATTAATAACTGAGTACAGATAAATAAGTTTAATCTTGACAATTTCTATTTATTTTTTCATTTCTGAGACATTTTTATTAAATTGATTAAAAATGGGTGATAAATCTTTCTTGAGTAAATATGCAAACGCCGTCGAACGATCATATTTTAAACGAATTTATTTAAGAAATTCCACAAAAATAAATACGAATTCCGCTTTATGCGACAGACATGATCGATTTAGGTTAAGTTAAGGTCGTTTTCCAACATGACTCACAGTCAACGAAAATGTTCAGGGTATCAAAGTCTCATTGTCGACTTATTAAAGTGAAAAATTAGTTCTCAAAATGAATATTAAATAAATATGTGTCATACAATCGTATATATACTTTCCTATTAAAAGAAAATCCCGCAATGTAAAATAATAAAAAGTATATTATGTTTAATGAATGAAGGGGAGAGTTTATGTACATATGTGTAATTGAAAATGAGCGAAAAGTTCAATGAATCTTATGTAGAGATAATATAATGGAAACGTGATTTGTATAATCTAGGATGTACGATATGATACCCGCATACGATATGCTATATTCACGTGCCAATGTTTGCGCTTATGTAGTACAATGTGTGTGCATACATATGAAACAGAAAGTTTAGTTAAGATACTGCTACCAAACGACAATATCTTATCCGTTAACTGCTATCAGCATACACAATCAGCTGTTCCAACTGCTGCTTCTGCTTCTGCTGCTGCTGCGGCTGCGGCTGCGGCTGGAACTGAGAGGTCAGCTTGCCTTGATTGGCTACGTCATCGATAGACATGGACGGACATGGAGATACATAACTTAAGTGGCATGTGGATCGCCGAGTATTTGCTTGGCTTTCGTCAAGAGCTCGTCATGGGTGTGGATACGCATTTATGAATGAAATCTGTGCAGTCACACCTACAATGCTTTTTTTTTATCTATATAAACAAAAGATATTGGCTTTATGAATAGTCGCACCTCTTTTCGCTTTCGTTGGCGAGAGGCGTGGCAAAGACATGAGCTTTGCGCTTCAATAAATTTGAGAGTGATATGTATGTATGTATAGGTAAATAGCTATTAATTAAAGGGCCTGCTTCTAATTCAATATAAAGACTTTTTATTTAGTTCGGCCGATAAGATGTACGCTGATGCCAGCTGCATTTACAACTCCATTAAAATGCCGTCAACTGTAGCAAATGGCGTAAGCCGCTTTGACCCTTGAGCTTATCAGACCTCAACGTCAACTGTCAACTGGCGACGCGTGTCTAATAAAACTATCTCAGTGCGAGTATCTAACCCTGCCCTGCATCGACTATCGCAATCAATTGTTGCCGCCGATGCCGCCATTGACCAACTGTTAACTGGTCCTCGATTGCGATTGGCTGACTCTGCAGCACTTCCGCTGCAGATTAGAGGCAACCCCCATGGCACTAAGGGTTGACAATTATTTCATTCATCAGGCATTTCACTTCCACATCTGAGGATGGGCTCATCCCTTGTCTGGCTCCGAGCTCAATGCAAGGCGATAAGATTCACATAAATTTCACATTACTTTAGGTATAAAACTAATATATATATATGTAAGTTTGACCTTTTTCATGAATGAAACAACTGCGCGTGCTGTGCCGAACTCGGAGCTAGGTCCCCTTTTCCGCTCTCCTTTTTTCTCGATGTGTGCGTGTTTTTTTTAAGGTATTTTAACGCCAATTTCGCTCTTGGCCTCATAAAGATAAAACATCTTTCCACAGTTGACTTTTTAAATGCATTTCGAAACACAAAAGAAAAAACTATTTAAAGGTCCACATCGTGCTTAACCGACTACGTAATGCTCGCTCACTTTATAATAATACCTAAACTCTTTCTTAGATGGCTCGATTTAACTGACGTACTGATTTTAAGAGCGGTTCTTCGTGTACTCTTCACTTTAAAATTTTAAGAAATCTTTCAAATTAACTTTTAATGATCACATACATTGCACCTAACCAATAAACTCGTTTCGTTTTGTGAACGAGCATACCAAATGTCGCATTTGTGGATCTGCCTGCAAGCAGCCTGATGAGTCATTCATTATAAATCAATTTGGCTTATCGCACTGACAATTGTCTCTGCCTGCCTCTAAAAAAAACTTAAATAAATAAAAAAAATTCAAAAAAAAATCTGTCTGCCTTTGCTGCTTCTGTTATAAAGTAAGCAAAATGGTTAAACTCGATTGAAATAAGGAACAAAAATTACTTCTTAATGATATTCAATTATTATTTATTTAATTTGGTATGGCCAACAAGTTTTATAAACTGTGATGGACATATACAATAGCTACTTGGGAGCTACATTCGACTCATTAGGTTTAACGCATAATTGAATTTATTTATGACAAAGACATAAAAAGTTTATAGCTCATGCTGCGGCTCATCTGTTGATTATCTATATAACGAACCGATGTGAGAAACCTGTGGAATCTTTTTATGGCTGCTCTCAAGTCTTTAGATGCCTTGTTAAAGTATATTCGGATTTTAGATAAACAAATTGATAAATTGAAAGTGGAGCTGAATTTTTTTTATAAATTAAATTTTATTTCACTTAATTTTTAAAGTTGAATCTAGATTTCGAATTGAAATTGGCAATAAAATATATAGAAAATTGATCTTCATGTTGAGACCGATGTGCACTTTGGGGACTTAATTATGTGTGGGAAAATATATTATTTATGTAGCTGTTCTTTTTATATATATACAATTTTTTAAAATTGATTTTTAAAATATTTATTTGTCGTCTTTATACGAACCTTCAGCTGCATCTTGATATCGACTATATCAACACTGTTGCAGACCATCAAAATGTTCGTTGTTTTTGCTTTTTGCTTTCTCGTCGATTGTTGTTTAGTTTTATCTAAGTTGCGTTTTTATCACTTGATTTTTTTGTTTTTAAAAAATTATCACATACACGGGTAAGTGTACTCTTTTCTCTTTCTATGTTGCAGTAACACCTGTTAGAAGAGCGCGCGCGTCTGGAAAATGTGTCCATCAAGTGTTAACCACAGTTCGGATTCCGGTCAAAAACTCTGCGCAATTGTCGTGTGGGTGAAATTAGAAGTGCGGGTTTTTGGTATCCGTAGAACGTTTTTCGTTGTTTCCCGCGCGGCATTTAATAATAATAATAAGTGCTACTTTTTCCAAACCAACTCGAACCCGGGCTGATGGCGACGACAACACCGACAACGACAGCGACACCGACAGCACCGATACCAACACCGATGTCGACTTCGACGTGGACGCAACGCATTGCGGTGCCTGCTCCGTTTAGCACCTCTAGCACAGCGCCCAATTATAAAACACACACAGACGCAGTTTGCAGCGCTTCTCCGCGTTGTATATAGCATATAGCATATATTTGGTTATATATCTGTATGCGTGTGAGTCGCTGTGTATGTGCGTATGAGTTATGATTTATTTCTATACCATTGCAGCGCTCTTGTTACAGCTATCGTTGTATTCGTGCTCAGGTATTGGTTATCTTATCGCCGAGCGATAAGCCTGCAAGTGTATGTGTGTGCGTACCTGTGTGAGAGCGTGCGTGTGTGTGTGTGTGTATATAGCAAACAACAACAGGCCACGGCGACAACGTCAGCGTTGTCAGCGATAAGTATCTTATAGATACAAATTGCGCATGCGTGCTCAGCCAAAATCAAATTAAAAGCCAGCCCAGGCACTTGTAATATGGGTACTTAATGGACAAGGCTCCAATTCCAGCTCCTCCTTCCGCCCATTTCGTATTTCGATTTGAGTGCAGGCAGCCTTCTGTCGATTGTGCAATTCGGGCCCATTTTCTAATTGCAGTCGTAAAACACTTGGCTCCACAAGCTGGCCTGCCTGTAGGCACCTGCCCAGCATGGGGGCGCAGGCAGAGTTGTGGGCAGCTCTGCTCCACTTCATGAATGTCTCAAGTGTTGTAACAACTGACAATTGACTAACAACAACAAGCGCTGTGTGTCGGGCACATGAGCACATGCACATACCATTTTTATAGCAACCATAAACACAAGCTCGTGCTGTAGTACGCACGACCAACACACGTGGTTGAGTATCAGGCTTAATGGAATTACAATATAGCTTTTAACTAAGTTAGCCGCTTAGTATTACCATTAATGTTCTTAAATATATGTATATCTAACCCCCACCATTATTATTATAAATTGCAATCATTCATTTCATATTCATTTCTGAGCTTGTTAACCAGATCTATTGTAAGTCGGTAAAAGTGTGATTTAGCTAACAGTAAACCATATTAACAATAATTTATATTCCTACTTACATTATTTGTTAGCAAAGTGAGAAACAGATTTGAAATCCATATGAATGTACTAATTATAGGTAGACATTTATTGCTAGCCAATTGCCGATAAACAGTAATCTTTATAGAATGAATTAAATCTAAAAGCTGGGAAAAATAATTGAAGAAACAAATGCCAACCAAATTGGCTTTAAAGCGAAGATGAAATGAATATATTAAATTTTATTCAAGCTTTCATTACATAATTTAATGGAAATATTTTTAATTTTAATAAGTTACTATTATAGTATTACCTAATTTAGATTATTATTAATGATTTAGTTCTTTTAACAAAGACTTCCTGTAAAATATACCTTCTTGTTAAAACTTGCTATGTGAAAAGAAAAGTTCCATATGTTCTTCCTTTGGTCTATTACAGGCTCCAACCGGAGTATTTTGAAACCAGTTTGCAGTCTTGCTTAAATCACGCATAGCAGCACAATGTATCTATAGAAAGATCTTTTGTATGCCTGGCGTAAGGTAAATTTACGTGCATAAGTATATTTACCAAAACCGGGTCTTGACAATATCATAAATTGTTTATAGTTGCAGCCATAAAGCAAACAGATATATGACGGCCTTAAACATGCCCACTAGAGAGTTGAGCAGAGCGGAGCAGAGCGAGGGAAGGGCGCACACATAAATTAAATTGGATGAAAAATGAACTGGCGAGGTTTCTGCTTTTATATCGCTTCAATTGCTTGCAAATTTCTTTATGCTCAATAGAAATTCTATGTGGGTAATGCATAAGTCTCATATCGCCTACACTGGCAGTGCCCGATAAAATTTAATTGTTTCGACTCGGGCTAACATAAATCACGGGGTAAATCTTAAAAGCCACAGCCGTAACAAAAGTATCTAATAGTTTGCCTGTTTAAAGTAGCCACACTTGAGGCACATTCAAGATATGTGGCTGGAGCGTGTCGCAGAATATCAACACGGTGATTAATAACAAATGCAAAATGTAACTCAAAAGCTGACAAGCTGACAGCCCTCATTCGTTGCTCCCCTTGGCCTACGACTCTGAAGTGGTTACAAATGGCGCAACATGAATTCAACATTACGATCCACTCTTGGAAAAACTGCAGAGGTTCAACGAGCGCCACACTCTGTCATACTCTGGTTCCGAGAGGTGAGACCGGCAAGCCAGTCGATGGTTAAGTCGTGCAATTAATACCCCAACATTGATGACACAAGCCGCCTAGCTTAAAATATTGAGGCCCAAATTTATGGCCATAAGACACAAGACTTATTGGCGGCACAAACTAAGGAATTTATGGTGCTCGAATCTTTCATGGGGTTTTCTGACCAACAGCTCCGAAAGCAGTTACAAATATGTATACATAACACTGTATATAGTACACAGCACATATACAGTATATATAAAGTATAGACTTTTGCTCCTATCTTTCCACGAATCACACTTGGCCACCCTTCAACTTGTCCATGCAGTTTCAAGTGCTTGGCGCTCAGCGAAATGAAAACGAAAACTCAGTTATCAGCACTTCTTCGACTTTGACAGTATCGGCGATCAGACTATGAGAAACTTAATTTATAAATTTTATACATATATATATATATATATATATATATATATATA